AATGAATGAAAAAAATGATAATTATAATTGAATCCTGGATCACTCAGAAACCTACAGATTCAGGGTCACCAGTCTGAGCATTAATTCTCACCATCTGGGACCCTAAATATAGCATGTGTAGGCGGCACTGGCTGCATAATTTGTTGGGGCCAGTGCAGAATAAAAATGCAGAGCTTCTTGTTCAAAAATTAATAACTGTGAGACAGCATTAGCAGAGTATTCAGCCGAGCACGCGGCTCTTCTAAGTGTGGAGCCTGGTGCTCCTGCACAAGTCACACCCACGAAGCCAGCCCAGCAGGTAAGGAATGGGACAAAATTTTACCGATCCTGGTCATTTTCTGGAAATGGCTTTACTTTTTTTTCCCAGAAATCCTTGAAATGACCTTTTTATTTTATTTTATTTTAAGATGGAATCTCACTCTGTCACCCAAGCTGGAGTACAGTGGTGTGATCTCAGCTCACTGCAACCTCTGCCTCCTGGGTAGCTGGGATTACAGGTGCCCACCATGATGCCCAGCTATTATTATTATTATTATTATTACTATTATTATTATTGTAGTTTTAGTGGAGACGGGGTTTCACTAAACTCCGTTGGCTAGGCTGGTCTCGAACTCCTGACCTCAGGTGATCCACCTGCCTCGGCCTCCCAAAGTGCTAGGATTACAGGCATGAGCCACTGTGCCCGGCCATGACCTTTTTATGTAGTTATTTTCTCCTTTTCCATGAAAAAGAAGGCAACATTAAAAATGAAGTTTGTCTGTGATAGGATTGGAGTATCCCAATTCTCTTCTTCCTCCTTGGAGTGTACCCTCTCTTTGCCATGTTGCTCTACAATGCCTCCTGCTGGAGAGATTGGAGTCTGTTTCCCCACTTCCTCATGTCGGGCTGGATCGTGAGGCTTGCTTTGGCCAATGGAATGTCAGTGGGCATGATCGGAGGCTGTAAATGTGCCCATGTGGTTTGGCTTTGCTTCTCAGGCTCTGTCCTTTACCATGAGAACTGTCCCGGGTAGCTGTTGGCTCAAGCAAATGACAGAAATATGGGGTAGACTTGATCCCAATCAGCTGCCCTAGCTCACCTGCAGACTTACATAGAAGGATGAAAAAGAAATGTTTTTGGTAAGCCAACAAGGTCTTGGAGTCTTTTGTTACACAGCATTTACATAACAGAAACCTAAGAAGGTATCCTTCAGGAGGATCCTAGTAAATGAATATCAACTGTGTGATTTTTTTTTAAATTTTGAGGATGCTGAAAAAGAACAAGAGAGACTAGAAAAAGAATCAAAATGAATGCTGAATATTGGTATACAATCCTGCTCAAAAGATGGTTTAACATGATGCTCAAATCAAGTCAATAAGTCCTAAACAAACTCAGTGCTAAGCACTTTGCAAGCTTTAATTCAAGTAATCCTCCCAGTAACACTATGAGTGAGGTTGCTAATATCATTGTCATTTTCAGTTGTGGGAGCAAAACATCAGAGAGATGTAAGTAACTCAGCTAAGGCCACACGGCTTGGAAGTAGTGAAGCCAGGATCCTAACCTAGGTGGGATGGATCCAGAGCTGCACACTTAATCACCACGCCTTGCTACATTGACATCTAAAAAACAAGGGCCGGTGGCTCATGCCTGTAATCCCAGCACTTTGGGAGGCCAAGATGGGTAGATCACTTGAGGCCAGGAGTTTGAGACCAGCCTGGGCAACGTGGTGAAACCCCATCTCTACAAAAAATACAAAAATTAGCCAGGCCTTGTGGCTTGCACCTGCAGTCCCAGCTACTTGGGATGCTGAGGCTGGAGAATCACTTGAGCCCAGGAAGAAGAGGTTGCAGTGAGCCGAGATCACACCGCTGCACTCCAGCCTGAGCAGGAGTGAGACCCTGTCTCAAAAATAAAAAGTAAAGGAAGGTCCTGGGGAAATTCAAGGTACTTTTATCTGTGTCCTGAACTTGACTTGACTTCAGACCGCTTCTCCTTCTGCCTCCTCCTTGAAGATCAACTCAAATACCTGTTTCTTTGCTCTTGCCTTCACCCACACCTTGAGTTTGATGCCCGAGTAGATGATGCTCCCAACTCCCAGCAGCCCAAACTCCACTCTCCTTACCTAGCATGATGTGTCTGAGGAAACTGGGCCAATAATCCACTTGATTGCATAGCCCAGGGCTCTTTCTCGCAGGATGGAGCTACCATTCCGAACCTTAGAACTGGGCCCACAAGAAGACCTTGAGATACAAAAGCCTTCAAGGTATGTGGGAAGGGTTTGCAAAAGGAGAATCAGGTTTATGGCTAAATGTCAGTAAGAACGCATGCCCCTGCCTTTCTACACTTCTCCGAAGGCCCCTCAGCCAGGCTTCTTGGTGACTGTGTGGTGCCTGAGGCCATTCTTACAGCATGAATATATTAAAGCATGGTATAATCCAGACATTTGTCATTCTCCCTCCAGGTCATTACATATGAGCAGGTCTCTTTGACAATGCTCTAATATGCCCTCAAGGAGGCTTCATTTATTTAGAGCTGCATACAGATTTTGAAGAGAATGTATTTAAGACAAGTAGAAAAAGAATCTTTCATCCTTATTACAGATTACGTAAACTCCTAGCCAGATTCTAATTTCCTTGCTGATTCCAAACTTGCCAAGAGAGCTTTTTTTGGACATCATTAAATAGATCTTATTCTAGTTGTCTTTGTTTGTTTTTTAGAGATTGCAAGTACTCCATAGGTTTCCTTAAAGAAGCAGCAGGAGGAAGAGGCCTCGTTTTTAGGAAAGCTTGCCTTATGCTCGGGCAAAGGTGGACACATCAGCTGCTGGTGCATGGGCCGGCAGCGGAGAGGAAGGATATTCACAAGAATTAACAGCTGGTCCAGAAAGGGTTCTGAACAATCAGGGAGAGGCCCTGTTCCTGACCCATCTGCCAAGCAGATGGGCTGTGATCAGACTGGCTCATCAGAAGGGGAGCATCTCTTTCCCAAGAATCCCAGTCCAAGTTCCAAGCCTGCGCTGGGAGCCACCGTTGTTGGGTTGAACTGATCCAGAACATACGGTCTGAGAGTAGAAAGGGAAGCTTCCCTGCAGTAGGCAGAATAATGTCCCCAAACCCACCCCAAAGAGGCCTATATGCGAATCCCCAGAATCTGTGAATATGTTACATAGTAAAGGGGAATGGGAATTAAGGTTGCCAATCCGTCGACTGTAACATAGGGAGATTACTCTAGGTTTTCCAGGTAGGTGCAATGTAATCCCAAGGATCTTTAAGAGAAGAAGGAGGAAGTGGAAGAGGAACCACCAAAGAGAAGGCAGCATAAGAGGGATCTGGCCTGGCGTTGCTGGCTTTGAGGCTGGAGGAAGGGACTACCAGCCAAGGAAAAAAAGCTGAAAAACGCAATGAGACAGATTCTGCCTAGGGCCTCCGGAAAGAACACAGCCCAGTTAACACTTTGATTTTAGCCCAGAGAGATCTATTTTGGACTTCTGATCTCCAGAATTATAAGATAATAAATTTGTGTTGTTTTAAGCCACTAAGTTTATCGTCATTTGTTGTGGCAACAATATAAAATAAATACATTCCCCAACAGGAAATTAGGGTGCTCTTACCAAAATGAGAAGGAAGATGCTGGGCAGGCCAACAAAAAGATCAGAACAGATGTGTACTGCAGGTGAGATCATGGGAGCGCTTGTTCTATAGCTCCCTGGATGGATATTTCCCAGGGGAGAGAGAATATACTTTCAAAGTATCAATAGTGGTATGGACCTGTTCCACAAAGCAAAAGCTAAGCTCATAGCACCTGTCAGCAAGACCAGAAGACCTGGAGTTAGGAGTGTGGCCTCTGAAGGCACTCCACAGAGACTGGAAACCTGGTTCCCTCATGCACCAGCTGCGTAACTCTGGGCAAGTTACTTAGACTGTCTATGCTTCAGTAAAATGAGGATGATAAATATCTGATAGGATTTTTCATGGGGATCAATGACAATTATACACATAAGGAATTAATAAAAAAAAAATCTGTGGATGCAAAGCCCACGGATATGGAGGATCAACTATTAAAAAAAAGAATTAAGAATCACTTCTGGCATATGCTTAAGGCTCAATAAATGTTAATGGCTGCTAATATGACTCATACTATAACCTAGCTCTGGAGTCAGACTACCTGGGTTCAAAGCCCAGCTCTGCCACTTAGAACTTCTATGCTTGGGCGAGTTACTTAGCATCTGTGAGCCCCAGGTTTTTTCATGTGTAAAATGGGGATATTAAAGTACTTACCTCATAGAGTTGTGATGAGAATGAATACATTAATTTATGTAAAGTACTAGAACAACGCCTGATATACACGATACTTGTTATCTAGCGTCATCATCGTTAGTACTAGTATGAGGTCACCATCACTTTGGAGGACTAATAACTAAAGCACCACCACCGTGATGATGCAATGGCATCTTATGTGATCGTGAAAACCTTTTAAGTTGGGAAGAACCATGGTTCCCAAACTGTAGGGACCTCTGGGAGCAACCTTATCTATCTTCCTATCAGAAACTCAAACCACGGAAGCACCCCGGTGAGATGGCTATATAATATATGAAAAGAAAAGAAAGTGGAAAAATTTGTCAGCAGAAACACACTGTAAGACTCTTGAAAGGGATGTAGAGAGAACCCACTTACGCCTCCTATTTCTCTGCTCTGCAATTCTACAGGGTTGCATTTGCCTGATGCTTTTGATTTAGTGTTTTTACACTATGTGAGAACATTAGGTTAAGGAAGCTTGCCATTTCCCTTTTCAGAGCAGTCCTTTCAACAATACCAAGAATTCGCACTTTGGTAGATAATGACAAGAAATACGACAGCCCTTTAGTAAACGAGCAAATCAGCTAATGGCAAAGGCTGATTTAATCAAAACATTCTGGTTCTCCCTCATCTGAACCCACATAAGGAATGAACCAATCCAATTGGAAAAAAATATTTGTTTTATCTTTGCCACATTTATTTACTCTTAAGGACTGTTTAACTTGATGGGGCAGAGAAGTTGGAAAGAACAAAAATACTCAAGGCAGTGAACAGCCTCCCAGGTCTCCGGCAGCAGGCAGGAATGCCAGTGGCCTGGAGGTATTTCCACAGGGGCCTGTTTGTGAGCAGTTTCTGAAGTTCTTTGCCCTCATCTTGAGGGGTGGAGAAATGACCTGCTTATGTGGCAGGTTTGCAGGGCAGGGGGTGCAGAATAAGAACTAGAGAAAACAAGTCAGAAAGGTAACCCCTGCTCTGTAAATGATTCCAAAATATGAAATACTTATTCCAAAAACTTTACTGAGCATTCTATATGTGCAAGACACTGAGACAGGTGTTACAAGAAGGCAAAGATAAAGTAGACATAGATTTGAGCTCAAGAATTTCTTCGTCAAATAGGGCATGAGAAAGACACACAGATACCTATGGGATGTAGAAAGCTCCAGGTATGTTTTATTTTATTTTATTTTATTTTATTTATTTATTTATTTATTTATTTATTTATTTATTTATTGAGACAGAGTCTTCCTTCATTGCCCAGGCTGGGGTACAGTGGTGTGATCTTGGCTCACTGCAACCTCCACCTCCTGGGTTCAACTGATTCTCCTATCTCAGCCTCCTGAGTAGCTGGGAGTACAGGCGTGTGCCACCATGCCCAGCTAATTTTTGCATTTTCAGTAGAGATGGGTTTTTGCCATGTTGGCCAGGCTGGTCTCAAACTCCTGACCTCAAGTGATCCACTCACCTCAGCCTCCCAAAGTGTTGGGATTATAGGCGTGAGCCACTATGCCCAGCCTCTCGGTGTGTTAAATTGGAAGCCCTAGAAACAGGGCTGGAGATGGGGTTTGTGTACAGGTGCTTACTGTTGTAAATTGTTTTTATTTTTTTTAGAGACAGGGTCTCCCTTTGTTGCCCAAGATCGGTGCGGTGGCATGATCTTAGCTCACTGCAGCCTCGACCTCCTGGGCTCAAGCCATCTTCCTGCCACAGCCTCCTGAATAGCTGAGACTAGAGGCATGCAGCACCACACCTGGGTAATTTATTATTTTTTTTGTAGAGATGGGGCCTCACTATGTTGTCCAGGCTGGTCTTGAACTCCTGGGCTCAAACCATCCTCCTACCTTGGCCTCCCAAAGTGCTAGGATTATAGGCATATGCCAGGGTGTCTGGCTTTATAGGTGCTATCTTGAAGAAGAGCTCTTGGGTGAAACCTTTAAGGATGCAAGTGAAGCAGAATAGGGCAGGGGAGAAGCTGGGTAAAGAGGTGACCATAGCCCCAGCCTGAAGCCATTCTTAGATCTGGAGGGTGACTGGTACCTGTGGTATAATACAAAATATATATTAATCTTGGTCTGTGGTTCCCAGCATAGAGCTCCTAACCCCCTTGGAAATTACTCTTTTGCAAATGAGATGATTTTTGCTGGGGAGAGGGGGCCTAGGTAGCTTTAGGATGGGGCCTGGACACAGGAAAAACCAACCATGTACTGAGAAGGTTAGAACTTCCAGCCTTGCTCTCCCACCTCTGAGAGCTGGAGAGAGGCTAGAGATGGAGTTCAATCACCAATGGCCAATGATTTAATCAATCATGTGTACTTACTGAAACTGCCATAAAAAAATTCCTACACAATGGGGCTTGGAGAGCTTCTGAGTTGGTGAACATATCCAGGAGAGTGGCTCATCCCACCTCCCCAGGGACAGAGGCTCCTGCATTCAGACCCTTCCTCAATACCCCTCCATCTGGCTGCTCGTGTGTGTCCATCATAATAAAGCGTAATAGTAGGTATGGCATTTTCCTGAGTTCTGTGAGGATTCTAGTGAATTATCAAAGCTGGGTGGGGAAAGTCACAGAACCCCTGAATTCATAGTCCACGGGGCAGAAGTGTGGGTCACCTGGGGACCCCATTTGTGGCTTGTGTCTGAAGTCTTGTGGAGCTGAGCCCTTTAACCTGTGGGAGCTGGGTTTCATAAAGGGAATCTGGGCACAACACAACAGCATTTACTAAAAGGTAATGCTACTGAAACACCAGAGATCCAGTCTAGGTCCTGCTGCTTGTTACACAGAATGCCAATCACTGAGACAATAAGTATTGCCGGGGAAGAAAGCTTTAATGGGGTGTTGCAGCCAAGGAGAATAGGAGATAAAGTCTCAAGTGTGTTTGACAGACTAAAATTGAGGGTTTTATATAGCAGGAAAGGTGGGAAAACAGGAATTAAGGAGGAGTGTGGAAGTAATCATGATGGATGAGGGGTCTGGCATCTCCGTCTGGATACAGTGATCTGATGAGTTTTAAGTTTTTGTTTTTGCCTGTCTGTTTCTTGAGGAAGGAATTCAGATGAGATAAATGTAAGTTTTACATTTTAAAAACAGGAAGGGTTTTTATGTTTCTTTTAAAAACTGTAATAACATTTCTATGGGACAATTGGGCTGGTTTTAATCCCCTTTTTCTATTCATTAATTTTTCAATCATGGGGAATATGGTTGTCTACCTTTTTGGCTACTTAATGCTAAGGGGTGCATTGTGGGATAATGATGGGAAATGAAAACATCACCCCTGAATCTGAAGGGCTCAGGAGCACCTGATTGGCATCCTGCTTGTTGGAGCACCATGATTAAAAAAAAAAAATGCCCAAGTATTAAAGTGAATCCCTTAACGAATCCAAGAGAACAATCCTAAGCCTATTAAAAAGTATTTCTGATTCATAGCTGGGTGCAGTGGCTCACGCCTGTAATCCTAGCACTCTGGGAGGCCGAGGCAGATGTGGCTCACTTGAGGTCAGGAGTTCAAGACCAGCTTGAGCAAAGTGATGAAACCCTGTCTCTACTAAAAATACAAAAATTAGCTGGGCGTGATGGTGCACGCCTGTAGTCCTAGCCACTTGGGAGGCTGAAGAATGAGAATTGCTTGAACTTGAGAAGTGAAGGTTGCAGTGAGCTGAGATTGCGCCACTGTACTCCAGCCTGGGTGACAGAGTGAGACTCTGTCTCAAAAAAAAATTATTAAAAATTGTTTTTGGTTCATTATATTCTGCATGCAAGAAGGGTTTTGGGGAGAATAATGCCAACCTGAAAAGCACATGTTCCATTTATGATTTCTGATTTAGGGTCTTTGGCTGGGCACTGAATATTAACTTAAGGCCATCTTAGGGTTCACAAGAGCATGCCTGTTTTTTTCTGGAGGGATGCCAGAGGGACAGGTTTTATCTGAGTGTGGTGAATCCATGGCTTAACACTGGCTAACTTGGCGGATGAGTGGGTAATCAGCAGCATCTCAAAAGGACTGACCCATGGTGGTTGCAGCTGGTTTGCAGCCTGCTGGGATTTCCAGGTCTTCAGCATGACTTGGTTTCTCAGCTTCAAAGAGAAAAGAGGCACATCTGTAGGACACTGGAGCCTATTGGAAGCAAGCTCAGAAAGACTAGTTAATATATTTTTAAAACACCAGGTTAATATTCCCGTCATTATAAAGCCAGTTCCCAATGGCTTGCATATGAAGCATATTATTGGTTGCTTCCTCTGGGGTGTTCCACTTGGCATTGATAAGTGGAGTTGGGCAGCCCGCTTCTCAGGGTAAACAGATCTTACCGTGGCTTTTATCCAGTTTACCAGGCTGGTCATTCTCTCAGGAATAGCTTCCAGTGTGTCTGAATTATATATACCCATCTATGATTGTTCAACAGTGAGCTGTGGGTCTTGCTTATGGTCATTCAGCAAACACTAGGATTTCAGTCGTGGTCTGTTGGACCCCCAAGCTGCCGCTCTCCATGGCCACATGGTCTGGCCACCTTCAGGTTTTCTCCCCAGCTTCCCTGTCACTCAGCAGTTCTCAAACTCTAGTATGCAGCAGAATCACTGGAGTGCTTCTTCAAGTAGATTTCTGGGCCCCACCATGACAGCTTTGATTCAGCTGGTCTGTGCCAGCCAGAGCTATGGCCGGCTACATTATTTGCAAAGCCTCGTGCAAAAGGAAAATGCAGGCCGGGCGGGATGGCTCATGCCTGTAAACCCAGCACTTTGGGAGGCCAAGGCAGGTGGATCACCTGAGGTGAAGAGTTCGAGACCAGCCTGGCCAACCTGGTGAAACTCCATCTCTACTAAAAATACAAAAATTAGCTGAGTGTGGTGGTGCACACCTGTAATCCTAGCTCCTCGGGAGGCTAGGGCAGGAGAATCACTTTAGCCCAAGGGGTGGAGGTTGCAGTGAGCTGAGATCATGCCACTGCACTCCAGCCTGGGCAACAGAGCAAGGCTTCATCTCAGGAAAAAAGAAAAAGAATATGTAGAGGTCTCATCCTAGGGTGGGGAAGTCAATTTCCCCTTCCCACTGGCTCAGTGCCCTAGTCCATAGCAGACAGGCCACCATGCCCACCAATGCTAATTGCAGCCTCACACCAGGACACGCTTAGTACCTGGATCAGGGATGGGAAGAAGCCCCTGATAAGTAGCCCACGGATTGAACTGGTGCTGCCACCCTAGAGTGGGGACAGCTGCTGCCTGGCCCTGGCCTGAGCACCACGCAGTGTGCATGCAACCCCGATCCTCTCCGTGTTTGTGCCCAGGCCCCCGCCAGGGACAGAGGGCAATGGCAAACACAAGCCTCCTCTCATCAACACAAGCCAGCTGCCACCTCGAGTGGAGGGTGGCAGTGGTCATTGGGCAGGGTGGGAAGACTAAGTGGGGTGTGGAGGATGGGGTGCAGGTGCTGAGAACCCAGGGTGGAAAGGGGAGGCAAGCTGTGAGCCAAGTCTCCAAACCCCCATGCTTGCTCCATTGTCCAATTGGACTTAGTAAACACAAATTCGAAGGTAAAATCAAACTTCAGCTTTGACGTTCTGTGTGGCGACACTAGTTGCACACCCATGAATTCAACTCTGGCCAGAGAATATTTACATTTCTAGCAAGTTCCCAGGTGACCCTGAGAAGCAGTTGATCTTTCCTTTCTTTCTTCTTTCTTTCTTTTCTTTTCTTTTTTTTTCTTTTTTCTTTTCTTTCTTTTTTTTTTTTTTTTTTTGCTTTGAGACGGAGTTTTGCTCTTGTTGCCCAGGCTGGAGTGCAATGGCGCAATCTCAGCTCACCGCAACCTCCGCCTCCTGGGTTCAAGCGATTCTCCTGCCTTAGCCTCCTGAGTAGCTGGGATTACAGGCGCCCGCCACCACACCCGGCTAATTTTTGTATTTTTAGTAGAGACGGGTTTCACTATGTTGACCAGGCTGGTCTTGAACTCCTGACCTCAGGTGATCCACCCACTTTGGCCTTCCAAAGTGCTGGGATTACAGGCATGAGTCATAGCGCCCAGCCAGTCCTTTCTTTTAAAAAGACGCAAAGCATTGCTCCACAGTGTGACTTTCCTCTTTTCCTCGGTAAAATGGTGATGCTATTTCCTGCATTTCCTGCCTCATACGCTTTGGTGAGAGGACAAAGAGAAGGATGCCTGAAAGTGCCCGGCACAGTGGTTGGAACAAAGCACATACTCGGGAAATGTTAGCAGCGGCACTAATAGTAATAGTCATAATTATTATTGCTGCCACCACCTTCACTTTTGTTCAGGCTGTTGTGTCTGATGCCTTTTTCTAGTGCCCCCTATTTCCCCTCTGCTGTCTTCAGAAAAGAAACTAGAGAAGTACAGGGGCAGGGCAGGGCTAGGGAGGGACACCTCAGGTCACAGCCAGTTATTGCCAAAAGCCAAATCATGAGGAGATATGTAAAGATGCTGAGGTTTGCCAGAACAAACTAAAAACTCAGATCCTCTGAAATTGGCCCTGGAGGGAGAAATCTGAGTGTGAGGAGAATGTAGGCAAACCATTTCACCCCACTGTTCCCTGGAGATTGTGTGTCCAGTCTGTAAAAGACACATAAATATCTCTAAGGGGTAGAAAGCTCCAGATGTTCTTCAGAGGAGGACAGAGCAAGTCCTGGAGATAAAGATCCAACTCCCACAGCCACCCCCTCCTGCCCCTTCAGGAGTGAGTGGGGAGGTATCACTTTCCTTTCAACATTTAGACCAGGTTATGACGTTCAGAGCACAAGAACCCTGCACAGAGGCTGGCTTCTCCCCGCAGGGCTTCACCACATTCGAGATTACGTGGTCTCGCTTGCTCTCCAGGGTTCACCCATCCCATCTCACACGGCAGACATCCACTGTTCTCAAACCCTGGGCCAGGGGACCGAGGCCAGAGAGAGAGAACAAGACTGAGTGCCTCTGCAGTGGGTCTGGACTGTGGAATGTTCCAGGGTGCTTAAAAAATACTGATGCCTGGGTCCCACCCCCAGGAATTCTGATTTAATTAATTTAGGGTGCATTCTATGTATCAGTGTTTTGAAAACTCAGCAGGGGTTACTACTGTGCACTTGAGGCTGGGAGCCACTGCTGTCCCGCCCACTCTGTTCTGGGATATTCTCTGAGGATCCTTCTCTGAATGGCTGACAGGCAGGGTGAACAACCGCCTCAGAGGCACCTCCATTAATCAGATGCATGAACTTGCCTTAGTAGCTATCCAGGAAGGTCTTCAGGAACCCCACTGCATGACCGCAAGAGAGAACCAGCCACTGCAGGCGAGGGGAGGACGGCCTGCGCACGTGGAATCATTTTGGGAAGAAGGAGGATCACCAGGTCAGCACAGGGTTGATTGTATGCCTGTGTCTAGGGCATGTTCCCTGGAAATACAAAAGCTTCTTGGAGCTGTACTGAGAGCAGCTTTCGACCATGCTAAATTCCTATTAGCATTTTTTTAATGAACTAATTTGCTATTAATGTGTATTCTTTGGTGAAACTGTCTGTTCAAATATTTTGACCATCTTTTAGTTTAATTTTTTTTTTTTTTTGAGACGGAGTCTCGCTCTGTCACCCAGGTTGTAGTGCAGTGGCACAATCTTGGCTCACTGCAACCTCCATCTCCCAGGTTCAAGTGATTCTCCTGCCTCAGCCTCCCGAGTAGCTGGGATTACAGACGCCCGCCACCACGCCTGGCTAATTTTGCAATTTTTAGTAGAGACGGACGGGGTTTCACCATGTTAGCCAGGCTGGTCTCAAACTCCTGACCTCAGGTGATCTGCCCCCCTCAGTTTCCCAGAGTGCTGGGATTACAGGTGTGAGCCACTGTGCCCAACTAGTTCAATTTTTGGAAAATATTTTTTATTGGCTGGGTGTGGTGGCTCACACCTGTAATCCCAGCACTTTGGGAGGCCAAGGTGGGTGGATCTGAGGTCAGGAGTTCGAGACTAGCCTGGCCAACATGGTGAAACCCCACCTCTACTAAAAATGCTAAAATTAGCCGGGCATGGTGGCGGGCGCCTGTAATCCCAGCTACTCGGGAGACTGAGGCAGGAGAATCACTTGAACCTGGGAAGGTGGAGGTTGCAGTGAGCCAAGATTGCGCCACTGCACTCCAGCCTGGGTGACAGAGTGAGACCCCGTCTCAAAAAAAAAAAAAAAAATATATATATATATATAAATATATATATATATAAATAAAATAAAATATATATATAAATATAAATATATATATATAAATAAATAAAATGAAGTGCTGTAAAAGTTCTTTTTAAAATTAAAAAAACTTTTTTTTTTTTTTTTTTTGTAGAGTTGGAGTCTCACCATATTGACCAGGCTGTCCTCAAACTCCTGGGTTCAAGCAATTCTCCCACCTTGACCTCCCAAAGTGCTAGGATTGCAGGTGTGAGCCACCATGTCCAGACCAAAAGTTCTTTATATGTTCTGGATACAAACTGTCAGATATAGAAGCCTTCTTCTGGCTCCAAGCAGCAGTGCTAGAGAGTGTTCATCAAAGCCTGGTATAGGTGCCTTGTGTTTATGAGCATTTGGCCCGGTCTGCCCTCTCTTCTGTGCCAGGCAGCACTGCCAGCTCAGGTACAACCTGCTTACGTCAGATCAAGTCCACAAACATTTACTGAACATCTATTCCCTGACAGGATCATGCTAGGAACCAGGGAGAATGAAATAAATAGCTGTTGTTTATTAATATTCTTTGTAGAATGTTGACCTCGAGCAAGTTACTTGCTTCTCGATATTTCAGTTTCCTGATCTGTAAAATGTGACTGTGAAAGGACCCACCCTGAAGGGTTGTAGTAAAGTCAAAGTGAGTTAATACATCAAAATACTCAGTAGGATGTCTGGCATATATTACGTACCTAATAAATATTAGCCAATATTGTCATTATTTTAAAAATTCTTATTATTTGTTATAGCCTGAATGTTTGTGTCCCCACCAAATTTGTGTGTGTGTGTGTGTGTGTGTATATATACACACACATTTTGAGACACAGTTTCACTCTGTTCCTCAGTCTGGAGTTCAGTGGCACAATCTCAGCCCACTCCAACTTCTGCCTCCCGGGTTCAGGCGATTCTCATGCCTCAGCCTCCTGAGTAGCTGGGATTAGAGGCGAGTGCCACCACGCCTGGCTAATTTTTTGTGTGTTATTAGTAAAGACGGAGTTTTAATATGTTGGCCAGGCTGGTCTCGAACTCCCGCCTTCAATTGATCTGCCCGCCTCTGCCTCCCGAAGTGCTGGGATTACAGGTGTGAGCCACTGCACCCGGCCTCCAGTGCACTATGATTAAGAGGTGGAACCTTTTGGAGCTTATTAGGTCATGAGGCAGAGCCCTCATCTGTGGGATTAGTGCTGTTAGGAAAGAGGCCTGAGGGAGCTTGTTCATCCCCACTGTCGTATGAGTAGGCAGCCAGAAGACCCTATCTTTGAAGCGGAGTGCAGCCCTCACCAGCCAATGACTCTGCTGGCACTTTGATCTTGGACTTCCCAGCCTCCAGAACTATGAGGAATACATTTCTGTTGTTTATAAATTGCCCAGTCTAAGGTATTTTGTTATAGCAGCCTGAATGGACTAAGACATTATGACAACTGCTACCACGGTGAGATGGAACTTAGAGGGTAATGGGGAAAACAAGCAATTATAACAGAGTGGTAGGTACTAATATACCTGGAAGCAGAGGTGTCATGGGAATATTCTGGAAGGGCCCCTATACAGGGTTGGGGGTTATTGAAGGTTTCCTAAAGAAAACAGTGGCTTAGCTGAGAACAAGAAGTGATCAAGACATTTCCAGGTATAGGAGGGACTGTGTATTAGCCCATTTTCATGCTGATGTTAAAGACATACCCAAGACTGAGTAAATTACAAAGTAAAAGAGGCTTAATGGACTCACATCTCCACCTGCCTGGGGAGGCCTCACAATCATGGCAGAAGGCGAAAGTCATGTCTTATATGACGGCAGGCAAGAGAGAGAGCGAGAGTCAAGTAAAAGGGTTTCCCCTCATAAAACCATCATATCTCATGAGACTTACTCACTACCATGAGAACAGTATGGGGGAAACAGCCCCCATGATTCAATTATCTCCCACCAGGTCCCTCCCACAACACATGGAAATTATGCGAGCTACATTTCAAGATGAGATTTGGTTGGGGACACAGTCAAACCATATCAGACTGTGAGGAGGAAGAACATTCCAGGCAGAGGGTCTAGCAATGTACAGTCTGCAGGTAAGAGAGGAACGGCTTGGTGGAGAAGTTGTGGGGTGCTGAGAGGAAAGAAGGGATACCACAGTAAGGTCATCTAGACCTTTTAAGCCATGATAAGGAGTTTGGACTTGATCTAAAGATGGAGAAGTCACAGATCCTGCCCTTGAGTAGCTTCAAGTTAAACAGGAGAGGTGGACATAAAACAGATTATTTATTTATTTATTTATTTTTTTTTTTGAGACGGAGTCTCACGCTGTTGCCCAGGCTGGAGTGCAGTGGCGCGATCTCGGCTCACTGCAAGCTCCGCCTCCTGGGTTCACGCCATTCTCCTGCCTCAGCCTCCTGAGTAGCTGGGACTACAGGCGCCCGCCACCGCGCCCGGCTAATTTTTTGTATTTTTAGTAGAGACAGGGTTTCACTGTGGTCTCGATCTCCTGACCTTGTGATCCGCCCGCCTCGGCCTCCCAAAGTGCTGGGATTACAGGCTTGAGCCACCGCGCCTGGCCTAACAGATCATTTATTAATTATGTCATAGTTTAATATAATGTGAGAAGACAGAGGAGAGACCCCAAACCCTGACTATGGCAGAGAAGGGGTTCTAGAAAAAGCCAAGATGAAATGCCCAGATCAACATGGATAGGTGTCACAAGGGAACACTTCCTCTTCCCAAGCATGCTATCTTGACCCTCTTCCCAGAGTCTTGGTGTAACATCATCCTCCACCACGTCAGAAACCTTAATGTGATCCCCCATGCTACTTTCTCCCTCATCCCTCCCTCACATTCGACCAATGGCCGAGTCTCACTGAGTTGTTTCCTCTAACTCTGTCACTCCCAATTTCCCTAGGCAAGGGCTTCAGCATCTGTTCAAGGGATACTTTCAGCAACCAGGTCTATCTATCTGGATTTGCCCTGATCAAATTCCCTTTCCACACTGTGACTGCCAGAGTGTCTTCTAGCACTTCCAACATGTCAATCCAGTCATGTTTCTCTCTTGGGCAAAACTATTTAGTTCCACAACATCTTGCTGGGTCTGAATTTCTATGCATCCATAGATCTATCAAGAGCTAAGAATGAATGTGTGTAAAATATCTTTACCTCCTTTGGGGAACTGTAAAAGACCCTTTTTAATTCTATTTTTAGTGTTAAAGATATGTCAATATCTTTTCCTATGTGTAATTTCACTAAACTTGAACTATTCTTTCTTGAACAACCTGAATTAAGGTTGGAAGGTGTATCTAGACCTTCCAGTGGTAGGGATTAAAAAATGCAAATATATAAATATAAATTCTTAACTTCCTTATTTGTTTTCCCAGGGTGAGCACCATATAAATGCTAAATTATTGGTTAGTGGGAAGAAAGGTTATTCCGTCATGGAGTCCTCCATACACACTGACCTCTTAGCCTGAATAATGTAAGATTTCAGCATTTTCCCCCTTCTTTGTTCTTCTCTAAGGTGGTTCTTTTCTACTTTTGCTTTTGCTTTTAAGAGTCAGGTTTATTAGGGACTAATTTTAACAAAATTTACCCCTGTACTGTACATAATTCAGTAAGTATTGTTGATTTCCTGCAGTCATGTAACTGCCTTGTCAAGATACAGAATACGTCCATCAACTCCAGAAATCCTCTCATGCATCTTTGCAGTTGATCTCCTCACCCACCCCCACTTCCTGGCAATAGCTGATCTGTTTTCCAGAATGTAATATTAATGGAATCAAATAAAATATAGCCTTTTGTTTCTGGTTGCTAATAGTATATCAGTTTTGAGAATAATTCATATTGTTGCATGAATCAGTAGTTTGCTTTTTTTCATTGCTGACTATTATTCCATGGTCTGAATGTAGTGGAATTTGTTTATGCATTTCTCTGTCAATGGACATTTGGGCTGTTTCCAGTCTTCAGCTATTATGAATAAAGTTGTAATTGTAACGTGAATACAGGTCTCTATATAGACATATGAATTCATTTCTCTTGCATAAATCCCTGAGAGTGGTATTGCTGGATCATACAGTAAATGTGTATTTAATTTTATAAAAACTGCCAAACTGTTTTAAAGTGGTTTTATTATTTTTCATTCCCACCATCGATGTAAGAGAGTTTCAGTTGCTCCATACACTTGTCAAATGTTTGATAATGTCCCTCCTTGTAATTTTAGACATTCTAGTGGGTATGCAATGGTACTTTGTCATATCTTAATTTACATTCCCCAAAATTCAAATTAGCATCTTTTAATGAACAAATTTTCCATTAATATGTATATTTGTTGGTGAAAGTGTCTGTTCAAATATTTTGATCATTTTTTAGTTCGATTCAAAAAATATTTTTATGTTTGAGCTGTCAAAGTTCTTTATATATTCTGGATACAAGTTATAGACATAAAATTTTATAAAATTTTTCTGTCTGTGGCTTTAAATTTTTTTCTCAATATTATCTTTTTGCCCAGGCATGGTAATCCCAGCACTTTGGGAGGTTGAGGTGGGTGGATCACTTGAAGTCAGGAGTTTGAGACCAGCCTGGCCAACTTGGCGAAACCCCTTCTCTACTAAAAATAAAAAATTAGCTGGGTATGGTGGCACATGCCTGTAATCTCAGCTACTCTGGAGGCTGAGGCAGGAGAATCGCTTGAACTTGGGAGATGGAGGTTGCAGTGAGTGGATATCGTGACATTGCATTCCAGCTTGGTCAACATAGTAAGACCGTGTCTTTAAAAAAAAAAGAAAGAAAGAAAAGAAAAGAAAAAAAGTTTATTTTTTTATAGCAGCTTTATTGAGCTACATTCATATGACATCTTTTGAAGAGCAGAACATTTTAATTTTGATAAGGTCCAATGTATCAAATTTTTCTTATATGGTTTGAGATGTTTGTGTCCTTTCTGAGAAAGCTTTGCCTAATTCAAGATCATATAATTTTATCCTGTTTTCTCAGAAGTTTTATAATTTTGACTTACGTGTAGGTCTGTAATCCATTTCAAGTTAATTTTTGTATATAGTATGAAGTAATGGTCAACGTTCATTTGTTTTGATGTGTGAATGTCCAATTGTTGTAGTACCATTTGTTGAAGAGCTATCCTTTCTCCATTGAATTACCTTGGCACTTTTGTTGAAAATCAATTGACTCTATATTTGTGGTCTATTTCTGGACTCCCTTGTCTGTTCCTTTGGTCTATATGTCTATTCTCACACCAGTATTGCACTGTCTTGATTCCTGTAGCTTTAGAATAAATCTTAAAATCAAATAACATGACTCTTCCAACTTTGTTATTCTTTTTCAGAATCATCTTTAGGTCCTTTGCATTTTTATATAATTTGTTAATTTTTACCCCCCAAAAAGGCTGTTGAGGTTTTGTTTAGGTTATGTTGAATCTACAGACTAATTTGGGGAGAACTGACATTTTAGCAATATTGACTCTTCCAAGCCATGAGCATACTCTGTCTCTTTATTTGTTCTACCATAGTTTCTCTCAGTATTTAAAAACATTATTTCAGTGTAGCGGTCTTACATCACTAAGTATTTCATGTTTTAAAAATTATTATAAACTGTATTTTTAACATTTTACATTTCCAATTGTTTCCTGCTAGTAAACAGAAAAACTATTTTTTTCTATTGACTTCGTATCTTGAATCCTAACTAAATTTACATATTTTATTTTTCTAGCACTGGCTAGAACCTTAGGGGGAAGCATTTGATTTTTTACCATTAAAAATGATGCTAACTGTAGGTTGTTTATAAATAAGATTTATTGGATTGAGGAAGTTTCTTTCTATTCCCAGTTTGCTGAAATTTTTTATGATGAATCTATGTTGAATTTTACAAACACTTTTTTTTGCATGTATTGAGATAATTATATAATTGTACTATTTTAGTCCATTGAGAGCAAGAGTTTTACTGACTGACTTTGAATGTTGAACTAACCTTGCCTTCCTAGAATATGCCCAAGTACGTGCTTTTTAAATATGTCTGGATTCTGTTTGCTAATCTTTTGTGACTATGTTCATGAGAGATATTGGTCGCTAGCATCATGATGACAGGATCAAATTCACACATAACAATATTAACCTTAAATGTAAAATTGGCTAAATGTCCCAATTAAAAGATATAGAATGGCAAGCTGGATAAAGAGTCAAGACCCATCAGTGTGCTATATTCAAGAGACCCATCTCATGTGCAAAGACACACTTAGGCTCAAAATAAAGGAACAGAGGAAAATTTACCAAGTAAATGGAAAGCAGAAAAAGCAGGGGTTGCAATCCTAGTTTCTGACAAAACAGACTTTAAACCAACAAAGATCAAAAAAGACAAAGAAGGGCATTATATAATGGTAAAGTGCTCAATTCAATAAGAAGAACTAACCATCCTAAATATACATACACCTAATACAGGAGCAACCAGATTCATAAAACAAGTTCTTAGAGACCTACAAAGAGACTTAGACTCCCACACAATAATAGTGGGAGACTTTAACACTCCACTGTCAATATTAGACAGGTCATCAAGATGGAAAACTTAAAAAGATATTCAGGACTTGAATTTAGCTCTGTACCAAGTGGACCTGATAGATATCTACAGAACTCTCCACCCAAAAAAGCAACAAATACGTATTCTTCTCAGTGCCACATGGTGCTTACTCTAAAACTGATCACATAATTGGAAGTAAAACACTTCTCAGCAAATGCAAAAGAACTGAAATAATAACAAACAGTCTCTCAGACCACAGTGCAATCAAATGAGAACTCAAGATTAAGAAACCCATTCAAAACTACACAACTATATGGAAATTGAACAACCTGTTCCTGAATGACTCCTGGATAAATAATGAAATTAAGGCAGAAATCAAGAAGTTATTTGAAACCAATGTGAACAAAGAGTCAACATACACCCCAGAATCTCTGGGATGCAACCAAAGCAGTGTTAAGAGGGAAATTCATACCACTAAATGCCCACAGATCTGAAATTGACATCCTAACATCACAACTAAAAGAACTAGAGAACTAAGAGCAAAGAAAGTCGAAAGCTAGCAGAAGACAAGAAATAACCAAGATTGGAGCAGAACTGAAGGAGACTGAGACACGAAAAACCCTTCAATAACGCAACGAATCCAGGAGCTGCATTTTTGAAAAAATTAATAAAATAGATAGACGGCCACCTAGACTAATAAAGAAGAAAAGAGAGAGGAGTCAATTAGACACAATAAAAAATGATAAAGGGGATATTACCACTGACCTCACAGAAATACAAACAACCATCAGAGAATATTATAAACACCTCTATGCAAATAAACTAGAAAATCTAGAAGAAATAGATAAATTCCTGGACACATACACCCTCCCAAGACTAACCAGGAAGAAGTTGAATACATGAATAGACTAATAAGTTCTGAAATTGAGGCAGTATTAAATAACCTACCAACCAAAAAAAGCCCAGGACCAGATGGATTTACAGCTGAATTCTACCAGATGTACAAAGAGGAGCTGGTAGCATTTCTTCTGAAACTATTCCAAACAATTGAAAAAGAGGGACTAATCCTTAACTCATTTTATGAAGCCAGCATCATTCTGATACCAAAACCTGGCAGAGATACAACAAATAAAGAAAACTTCAGGCCAATATCCCTGATGAACACTGATGCAAAAATCCTCAGTAAAATACTGGCAAATCAAATCCAGCAGCATATCAAAAAGCTTATCCACCACGATCAAGTTGGCTTCATCCCAGGATGCAAGGCTGGTTCAACATATGCAAATCAATAAACATAATTCATCACATAAACAGCACTAAAGGCAAAAACCACATGATTATCTCAATAGACACAGAAAAGGCTTTTGATAAAATTCAACATCCTTCATGTTAAAAACTCTCAATAAACTAGGTATTGATGGAACATACCTCAAAATAATAAGGGCCATTTATGACACACTCACAGCCAATATCATACTGAATGTACAAAAGCTGGAAGCATTCCTCTTGAAAACCTGCACAAGACAAAGATGTTCTCTCTCACCATTCCTATTCAACATCGTATTGGAAGTTCTGGCCAAGGCAGTCAAGCAAGAGAAAGAAATAAAAGGTATTCAAATTGAAAGAGAGGAAGTCAAACTATCTCTTTTGGCAGATCACATGATCCTATATCTAGAAAACCCCATCATCTCAGCCCCAAAGCTTCTTAAGGTAATAAGCAACTTCAGCAGTCTCAGGACACAAAATTAATGTGCAAAAATCACTAGCATTCCTAGACACAAAAAATAGACAAGCAGAGAGCCAAATCATGAATGAACTCCCATTCACGACTGCTACAAAGAGAATCAAATACCTAAGAATACAGCTAACAAGCAAAATGAAGGACCTCTTCAAGGAGAACTACAAACCACTGCTTGAGGAAATCAGGGAGGACACAAACAAATGCAAAAACACTCCATACTCATGGATAGGAAGAATCAATATCATGAAAACGGCCATAATGCCCAAAGTAATTTATAGATTCAATGCTATTCCCATTTAACTGCCATTGACAATCTTCACAGAGTTAGAAAAAACTACTTTAAAATTAATATGGAACCAAAAAAAGAGCCCCTGCAGCCAAGATAATCCTAAGCAAAAAGAGCAAAGCTGGAAGCATAATGCTACCCAACTTCAAACTATACTACAAGGCTACAGTAACCAAAACAGCATGGTACTGGCACAAAACCAGACACATAGACCAATGGAATGGAACAGAGAACTCAGAAATAAGACTGCACATCTACAAGCACCTGATCTTCTCCAAACCTGACCAAAACAAGCAATGGGGGAAAGGACTCCCTAATTAATAAATGATGCTGGGAGAACTGGCTAGCCATATGCAGAAAACGGAAACTGAACCCCTTCCTTACACCTTATACAAAATTAACTCAAGATGGATTAAAAACTTAAATGTAAAACTCAAAACTATAAGAACTCTAGAAGAAAATTTAGACAATACCATTCAGGACACAGGCATGGGCAAGGATTTTATGACAAAAATATCAAAAGCAATTACAACAAAAGCAAAAAATGACAAACAGGATCTAATTAAACTAAAGAGTTTCTGCACAGCAAAAGAAACTATCATCAGAGTGAAGAGAAAAACCTACAGAATGGGATAAAATTTTTGCAATCTATCCATCTGACAAAGTCCTAATATCTAGAATCTACAAGGAACTTAAACAAATTTACAAGAAAAAAAAAAAACCAAACAACTCCATTAAAAAGTGAAGAAAGGACATGAACAGATGCTTCTCAAAAGAAGACATTTATGCAGCCAACAAACATATGGAAAAAAACTTAACATCACTGATCATTAGAGATATGCAAATCAAAACCACAATGAGATACCATATCATGCCAGTCAGAATGGTGATTATTAAAAAGTCAAGAAACAACAGATGCTGGCGAGGCTGTGGAGAAATAGGAATGCTTTTACACTGTTGGTGGGAATGTAAATTAGTTCAACCATTGTGGAAGACAGTATGGCAATTCCTCAGAGACACAGAACCAGAAATACCATTTGACCCAGCAATCCCATTACTGGATCCCAAAGGAATATAAATCATTCTATTATAAAGATACATGCATGCATATGTTCACTGCAGCATTATTCACAATAGCAAAGTCATGGAACCAACCCAAATGCCCATCAATGACAGACTGGATAAACAAAATGTGGTGCATATACACCATGGAATACTATGCAGCCATAGAAAGGAAAGAGATCATGACCTTTGCAGGGACATGGATGGAGCTGGAAACCATTATCCTCAGCAAACTACTGCAGGAACAGAAAATCAAACACCGCATGTTCTCACTTATAAGTGGGAGGTGAACAATGAGAACACATGAACACAGGGAGGGGAAAAACACACACTGGGGCCTGTAGATGGGGGTGGTGGGAGTGAGAGCATCAGGAAAAGTAGCTAATGCATGCGGGGCTTAATACCTAGGTGATGGGTTGACAGATGCAGCAAGCCACCATGGCACACATTTACCTATGTAACAAACCTGCACGTCCTGCACATGTATCCCAGAACTTAAAATTTAAAAAAAATTAAAAATGAGACATGTTGGCCTATACTTTTCTCTTCTGTCTTGCCTGTCTTTGGTATGACAGACTACATAATGTTGGTCTCCTAATACAAGTTGTTAAATGTTCTCACATCTCTGATTTATTTTTTTTTAAAGTTTATGTAGGATGGATATTATTTTTCCATTAAATGTTTGGTATAATTCATCAATGAAGGCTTCTGAACCTGGAGAGTTTATTTCGTTAATATAAATAGGGCTATAAAGTTATCCACTTTTTAATTGTTTATTTATTTAGTTTTATTCTGAAGGTACATCAGCAATCTACTTCTTCTTGAATAAGCTTTGTTAGTTTGTGTTTTATTTTGTGGTGGTCTCTGTGTGGGATGTTGGCATATAACTATCTTCTGACTTCCCAGTTGCTACAGTGATCATCTATGTATTTATTCATATCATCTTATGCTATCATTTTTGTCCATTCAATGGCTGGAATCAATAGATCACAGTATAATCTGTTGTCAGTGAAGATGTGGCAGGGGGAACTTTGTGGTTGTGGCAAAGTAGAAGGCATTGTAGACCTTGGGCTAAAAATATAAGAAAGACAAAGATTTGCCTGATGGCTTTGTCAGACAAATTTGCCTCTTTTAATTAGTATGGATTTTAAAAACGGGAGAAAATTTAGAAAAGAATAACTGGCTCAGAGAAACTTGTAATAAAAAAAATACTCCTTTCCTGCAAGCATTGGAAAAGCCAGAGAAAAGCCAGATAAATTGGCAGGACTTACCAGCATGATGCTTTCTCTCTCTCTTATTTATTTATTTATTTATTTATTTTGGCATTTTATAAGAAACAAGACTTGACTTTAGTATTTATTTTAGAATTGTTGGCACATACTGAAATGTAACAGATTTTTTGATTGGGAGTTTTTGATAACAAAACAGAAAAAAAAAACAATTTTCCTCAATTCTTTATCCCTGTCCTATGTTTAAATATTATAAATCACATTTGAGAATATTATAGTTACATTTGTTGGAATAGTACTCAGTGATTTGAATCACCTATTTTAAAAGCAACTTACTTGCCAAGCTGCTTTTTCACTTAAAATGTTACTTTCATTTATACTAAACCCTATACTGTTTTCTTAAGGACAATTTGTTTACAAGTACAGAATAACCTACTTAATGTACTTTGGTTTAATTTACTTACATTTGAGGTATTTTTTTCTACCATCATCAAAGAATAAAATCAGGCATATGCTATAATATGTTGGTGAAGAGAGATTAAAACCATAAGTAAAGGCAAAGTGATAAAGGCAAACTGATATTATATTACATTCCTTTATGGTGACACATGATCATTATGATTGTAAATTTAATGCGATAGGATAGCAGAAAAGGCCTATATGTGTGATCAGCTGGTCTTCCCATGTGGAATGTATATAGAAGTTGTCCTGTGGTTTGAGGAAGCAGCTACTGTTTGCTGAGCCTCCCTCATGTGGCTCTGCCACAAGCCTTGGCTAAAGGTAGCCTCACCCGTGATTGCCAGGCTGAGGTTGGTTCACTGGGTGCTGCTTCTTCTCAGAATTCCATGACTAAGCCAGGAGTGGTGTTTGTTCTTTACTGATAGGTATTTCTTCTGCCTGCTCTGCTTACCACATCATCACACCAGTCCTTGACCTTTGTGAACCTCTCTGGAAAGTCAAACATGCCTAGAGCCTGACCAGGCTTAGGTCTAATAACACCATCAACTGCCCTTTGCAAGGTCATGGAAAAGAGGTTGGAGATGATTTAAATGAGAAGGAAACTTAACAGCTCATCCAGTCCAAATTTCTCATGACACGGATAGGAAAACAAAAGTCCAGAGATGTTAGAGGACTCCATCCAGGTCCCCTCTACTGTGATGTCTTTCTGGACATCCCAAGGTGATTGCAGTGGTGCTTCTGGCTGTTTGCAAAACCATTCTGTGCACTCCCCCATGACTTCTCACCCTTTGTTAGAATGATCTGTTGATGGTTTCTCTCTTACTAGAACTAGACCTCTTTGAGAGGAAGGCTGAGTCCCCCTAGTGGGTTCTACTAGGCCTGGAACCTAGTAAGTACTCATGCATGTTTGTTGACTTGGTGAATCTCTCTCATGCTGTCTGCTAGGTACTATTGTTTTGGGGCCAGCCTCATGGAGATTCAGCAGAAACTTCAAGAAAGCCAAACTCCTCTTGGTAGCAGACCAGAGCCTGAAGGGTAAGCCAAAGTGTAAGCGGGGAAGCACATCCAAGTAGGGGAAGACAAAAAAAGTGGATCCAGGGCAGAAAAAGGTGGTAAAAGTGTTTCGGTTCCCTCACTTACAGAGGCATTGGATTCATTTATTCATTCATTCAGTAACTTTATATTGGGCCAGAAGCTGTTGTAGGCACTGAAGATATAGTGGTGAGTATAACAAAGTCCCTGCTTATGTCACAGTGGCAAGAAAGACAATAAACAAATAAATGAGTCTCATACAATGCTGAAGGCAGACTTATCTCTCAGGAGTATCTTAATAAAGATCTTCCACTCCCTTAGAACAAGTGTTCTCACCTGAGGTCAACAGACCCCTGCAGATTTAGAGTGAGGCTTCAGGTTGTCAATTAAGCCCTCAAATCTGTGCATCTAGAACACTTTTTCTGCAGAGAAAGTCTTAGATGTGGCCTGCCAATAAATGCCTGCAGAGTCAGGTGGGAATATGGAAGAATGAAATACATCAGGTGTGAGAACCCAGTCTCTTAAACACAGAGGAATATTATTTTCTGCCACAGAGGAATATACCTTCTCCCTTTTGTTCCGACATATTCAGTCTTTTGGGTCTATCTTTTATTTCCTCACTTCTGGTAGAGACTTGGGTCCAGATAAATATCTCTCCACTATAAGAAAAACAGTAATGCAAGGGTGATGACAAAAGGCAAGCAATGCTCAGTGTTGGGGAGACCTTGGGGCTGGTGAGGATTGGGCAAATGGGAGGGCACATGCCTTCTAAGGCGGGCAATCACTCCTCTGCTTTAGTTGATCGTTGCCTTGAGGAATGGGACCCAGTATTGACAGACCTTATGGCTGGTTAAGAGAAAGCAGAAATCTGGTTCTCTTTGGGGATGAAATCTCAATTTAGTTCACATTTTCTTTAGAGAATCCTGGCATACCAACCAGAACACTCTAAGTGAGTCAAATATGGTCCCCGTAGGCAGGTGGTTTGTGACCTCTGGTCTCTAGATTCTCCCAGAATTTCAGATTGATTCGTGTCTTACATAAGTTTGATAACCACTGTCTTAGAATATGACTGCCCTCCATTCTGTGGCGGAAAGACAGAGGGCATGGACATTTACCATGTTCCTGGGTCCCAGAAGTCTAGGGGAAAGCCATCTGCCTCACTGCTCCCTGCCCCATCCTGGGCCCAGAGCACTAATGCCAGTGGCATCTGCTCTGTTCCTCTCCCTCTCCCTTTGTCTACCAGTGAGTGTCCTCCCTTATGGGGATGGAGCAAGTAGTATATTGTAAAAGGGACTTAGTGCTGAGAAGCACCAGAGGAAAAGTAGGAGATGCTCATTAAAGTGGAAGGCAGCTCTCTTCTTCCCCTTCTCCATTCTGCATTCTTCTCTCTCCCCTAAATGCCCCCACACCCAACCCCCAAACTCTTGAGAATGCCCAAATCCAACCAGGTCAGGAAAAAATAAACTCACTGGTTCCTGTAGTGAGAAGCCCAAGTGTGGTGCAGCTTCTGGCATGTGGGATTCAAACACTCAGAAATTTCTCCCTCTCACTGAACCTCAGCTCTGCTCTTTTCTCTGTTGCCTTTGTTCTTCGACAGGCTCCCTCCATGTGGTGGAAAAGTTGACCTGCATGGTCTTTATCACTCATCATTTCAGAAGGGGAGAGCCTACTTCTCTTGTAGCATTTCCATCAAATCCTGAAAAGAAAAATAATCTGGTTAGTTGTACTGGACTTGTGATACTGGACAAACCTCTATGTCCAAGAGCTCGAGGCACTCCCATTGGCTCACCCAGGTCACACACTCTTCAGTGAGTGCATCCCAGGATCACAGGGAGTCTTGAGGGCGCTGTGTGTGGTAGGGTGGTAGGGAGACGGCAAACTCTAAAAGGAAGAGATGGTGGATACTTAAAGCCTACCTTCTGCCCACAGGTGTGTCAGACACAATCTTCAAAGGCCATCCTATTGTTCCCCTATCCCCCAAACAAACAATGAAAAACCCTCCTGGCAATTTGGCAGTAGCTCAGTGTGGAGCATTTGTCAATGCCAGTATTAGAATGTCTGCATTGCAAAACCAGAAACGTCCAGTCCTGGTTTGGCACACGGAAGAGATTTTCAAGCCTTGGCAACTCCTCAGTGCAGGCAGTGGAGGAAATGCTCAAGCTTTGTGAAAATCTTCTCCCTTCCCTCCTCATGGAGAATAAGTGTTCATCACTGCAGCCATGAACCTGCCACACTGAACACATATGGTCTGAAAATCTAGGGACAAATGGAATAACTTTGGAAACCTGCAAATTTTAAAGCCAAAAGGGCGCTCCAGGGAACCTACTACATGAAGTTCTCTGGAAGCCACAGGATGGGAGGTTTGGTGGTGGTGGAGGTGACCGTAGATTTTACGTAGGTAAATGTAAGACAGTCTTATCCATAGAGAGAAAAATCCAAACTCACTGAGAGTAAAAGGATGATAGTTGAAATAACAGCTAATTGTTATTATTTGCTAAGTTCCAAAGCACTTTTCATAGATTATTTCAATTAATTATCACAACAGCCCTGTAAGGTAGGTGCAACGATCATCTCCAGAAGAGGCTAAATCAATTGCCAAATATCACATATGTAGCAACTAGTGGCAGAGTGAGGATTCATACCTGGGCAGCTTAACTTTAAAGCCATGGTGCTCATGCATTCATCCATCCATCCATCCATTCATTCAGTGATTATATTGGATGCCTACTACATACTAAGAACTATATTCAAGGTGCTGAAGTACAGCTGTGAACAACGCAAGTACAAATCTATGAAGCAGAGTTGGGGAGAAAGTAAGTTGGAGAAAAAAGATATAAACTAGGTTAGATGGTGATCATGATTAAGGAAAAAACTAGAGCAGGGAGGAGAGAGAAATGTGCAGGGGGAGGGTCAATTCTGAGTGAGACAACAGGCAAGGTCTCACTAAGAACGTGGCATTAAATAAAGATTTGAGGAAGTGAGGGAGCAAACCTTGCAGCTATCTAAAAGAAGAGCATGAGAGGTAGAGGAGACAGCTCTCTACCCGACCTGGTACAAAGATCCTGAAGCAGGGGCAAGGCTAATGAGTTCTAGAATTAGCAAGGAGTCCAGTGTAACTTGAACAGAGTGATCAAAGAACAGAACAGGAGGAAATGAGGTCAGAGAGGTAAACAGGCTGGAGTGCAGTGGCACGGTCTCGGCTCACTGCAACCTCCGTCTCCCGGGTTCAAGGGATTCTCCTGCCTCAGTCTCCCTAGTAGCTGGGATTACAGGCACGTGCCACCATGCCCGGCTAATTTTTGTATTTTTAGTAGAGACAGGGTTTCACCATGTTGGCCAGGCTGGTCTCGAACTCCTGACCTCAAGTGATCCACCCGCCTCGGCCTCCCAAAGTGCTGGGATTACAGGCGTGAGCCACTGCTCCCGGCCAGGATTCTTTTAATCAAGTGTGATGCAGCCATCGGGGTTGGAGCATTCTAGGAAGAGGGAACAGCATCTGCCAAGGCAACAGGAAAGCACATAAAAAGGAGTTGCTGGAAGATTCATTTCAACCCACAACCAAGTAAATATTAAATTTACGTTATAAAAATGTTAGGGCCAGGAGCGGTGGCTCACGCCTGTAAACCTGGCACCTTGAGAGGCCTGTTAGTTTTTGTATTTTTAGTAGAGATGGGATTTCGCCCTTTGGTCAGGCTGGTCTCGAACTCCTGGGTTCAACCGATCCTCCCGCTTGGCCTCTTGATTAAAAGAATCCTGGCCGGGAGCAGTGGCTCACGCCTGTAATCCCAGCACTTTGGGAGGCGGAGGCGGGTGGATCACTTGAGGTCAGGAGTTCGAGACCAGCCTGGCCAACATGGTGAAACCCTGTCTCTACTAAAAATACAAAAATTAGCCGGGCATGGTGGGATCGTAAATTAGTTCAACCATTGTAGAAAACAGTATGGCGATTCCTCAAGGATCTAGAACTAGAAGTACCATATGACCCAGCCATCCCATTACTGTGTATATACCCAAAGGATTATAAATCATGCTGCTATAAAGACACATGCACACGTATGTTTATTGTGGCACTATTCACAATAGCAAAGACTTAGAATCAACCCAAATGTCCATCAGTGACAGACTGGATTAAGAAAATGTGGCACATATACATCATGGAATACTATGCAGCCATAAAAAAGGATGAGTTTGTGTCCTTTGTAGGGACATGGATGCAGCTGGAAACCATCATTCTCAGCAAACTATCGCAAGAACAGAAAACCAAACACCACATGTTCTCACTCATAGGTGGGAACTTAACAATGAGATCACTTGGACTCGGGAAGGGGAACATCACACACCGGGGCCTATCATGGGGAGGGGGGAGGGGGGAAGGATTGCATTGGGAGTTATACCTGATGTAAATGACGAGTTGATGGGTACTGGCGAGTTGATGGGTGCAGCACACCAACATGGCACAAGTATACATACATAACAAACCTGCACGTTATGCACATGTACCCTAGAACTTAAAGTATAATAAAAACAAACAAACAAACAAACAAACAAAAACTAGCCGGGCGTGGTGGCAGGCGACTGTAATCCCAGCTTCTCGGGAAGCTGGGGTAGGAGAATTGCTTGAACCCGGGAGGCGGAGGTTGTGGTGAGCTGAGATCGAGCCCCTGCACTCCAGCCTGGGCGACTTGGTCACGTTCCCTCCCCTGCCCCCGCCAATTTTAGGAATAAATACCTTTTTATTTAAGCTAAAGTGTGGGTATACCCTTCCTCTAGGATTTTCCATTAAGGAAGAAGAAGCCATATTAGGATAATTTAGAGGGCAGTTAACCCTAGTAGACATAGTGGTTCTTAAAGGCTTGGGGCCTCAGACTGTACACAGGCTTCACATGGAATCTGATTTGTTCCTTTATCCTGCTCCTTCACCCAGAACCCGAATCTAGCCCTTCATGTTACAAAAAGGGCCAGAGGTCCAAAGAGGGTAAGTGCCTTGTGCAAAATGATTCAACTACTTTGTAGAGGATTTTAACTAGGGTTCATTTAGCTCCGCCCACACTATAAAAGGCTCTTTCTAAAAAACGAAACATGATTACGGGCACAAGGCTCCAGCGTTAACAAAGCTCTGTGCTAGCTGGGAAATGCCCCCCTCCCCGACTCATCTGCTTATCATCTGCATAGAGTTATGTACTCAAAAGCAGGAAAATTATTGAGAAAACCATTGGTCCCCGGCTCCAGACCCCAAGGTTGGCAGCTGGTTCACGTTTCCTCCCAGAGCCGGCAGGGGGGGCACCAGGCAAGGTTTGCAAGACGCGCCTCCCTCCCACCCCTCCCCCTTCCTCGCCCAACTTCCCATGGCCACGGCCTCAACTAAAAGTGGCCATTGACCTTTCAAGCTTTTGAGCAGTGATGCAATAGAATAGTATTTCAAAGAAAAATGCTTATCGAAATTTTGGATCCGGTTTTCCCGTGATTGTTAAGGGTTTCTTTTAAAAAGTAGGTCACATTTCAAGTAGGTCATATTTCTGGGGCGGGTGAGCAGACAAGGAGATGAGTTTCCACTAAGGCGGGGTGGCTTCCAACGGGGTTGGAGGTGAGAATCCCAGGTAAGGTAGAGGCGCCGGGATCCTTCCGAATTCCCGGCCCGTGGGCGTCAGCCCTGCCGGGAATGGCAGAGGCACTCTCCGGACTGCCGGACTGCGGGAACCGAGGCCAGTCACCCAGCCCCTTCCGGGCGCGCAGGTAAGGCCGCCCCCTTAGCAGCCGGCGCAGGTGAGCGGGGCTGGCCGCCAGGTCTGCCGGAGACGTTGGAGCAGAGGGGAGGAGGAAGGGAGGAGTCGGGTGGATGCTGGTGACAAGGAGCCGGAGCGCCAGGGGGAGGGGACTAAGGACGGCCGGCACCGCTTAAGGAGGCGCTGCTCTCCCGCCCGCTGCCTTCCAGGACCTGATCAAGGGGACCGCCTCCGGTCCCCGGCCGTGGGCACCGGGCCGAGCACGGCGTCCCCACGCCATCAATGTGTCTTAGAGCCGGAGAGGCCCGTTTCCGAGGACCCACAGTCGCTCCTGCACCCCTACCCCCCGCAAATGTGCGGCCAGGAGGGTCGCGTCGAGGGGGCGCCGCCGGGATGTTTACAGGAACCCACCCCCGTGGCGGGCCCAGGGCCGAGGACCGCCATCCTTCCCTGAACCCGGGCGCTCAGCTGGCCCGGGTAGGGGGCAGGCTCCGGCAGCTGAAACGGGGTTGGCTGTGGCCGGTGGCGGGGGACATCTCCAGCTTGCGCCCGAGCACCCCAGGGTGTGGGGCCAGAAGCAGGCCGACCCCAGCGTGCACACCGTCCGCCTTGCACTCGAGCGCTCTCACCCGGTCTTCTCTGAAGCCTGTGTATTGCGACCGAGCCTCTTTAAAGCGGTAGCGGGGCCCGCGGTCACGTGAGGCCGATTCCTGGAAAGTTCCTGGAAAGCGGCCTCCGCAGCAGCCGGGCGGGGCGCGAGCGGAGCGCTTACTGGGAGGGAGGCGGGGAGCAAGGGAGGCGCGTCGGGCTGGAAAGTCGCGCGCACTCCCTGCTCCTGGGACCGACGTTTAACTCTTGCCAAGTCTCGTCGCCGCCGCCGCCGCGGCTGGCGGGCCTTGGGTTTCCCCTGAAGCATGAGCACTCTCGCCCGCAGCCGCCCTCACCGCGTGGCCCGCGGACAGTGCGCGCCGGGGCCCCGGGCGCACAGCCTCAGGATCCCCAGTGCCCGCAGCTCGGGCGCCCGCGGCAGGTACCGGTAGCAGGGAGAAGCCCGAAGGCTCCGCCCCAAGGAGAGTTGCAGGGGAGGGCGGCGAGGCACGGCAGCGTGCGCCGGGGAGCGGCGGACGGCCTGGGCTTCCGCCGCTCGGAGCACCGGCGAAGAGAGAGTCCGAGCCGCGGCTCTGCCCCGCGGCCTGGCGTTGCTGCCTGCTTTCTCCGGTCCCTTCTCGGCGTCGGGAAGTGTCTGGAGTTTCTTTTTTTTATTTAACCTAAACTGCCATTCAAATTAATAATCCTCCTAATAACCTGATCTCCCGCTCCTCCCCACCGGCCTGCCTCCTGCCCTCGCTCCTTCCTCCCTCCCTCTCTCCTTCCCCACCTCCAGGGTCGCAGCCGGAGGGAAACCCGGCAGCAGTCCGAGGGTGGGGTGTCCCAGCCCGGAGGGGGCGTCGCCGCGCGGTGGGGGAGGGGGTCGAGGCAATGATCCTCGAGGCTTTTGTGTGCCCTCTGCGCACGGAACTCCGGCCGCCGCCTCCGAGCGCTGGGCTGGTCGCATCCCCGGGCATCTCGTTCCCAAATTAAACGTAAACGGGGGAAACAAGGGCAGACGCCCCTCCTCTCCTGGGCCCCTCCCGCCCCCCCCCCCCCCGCCCCATGTCCGCTGAGGAGGCTGCCTGGTGCGGAGGCGGCGGCAGCCGAGGTCGAGGTAAGAGCGCGGCGTTGGAGGTTTGCACTTCCCGCAGCGCTCGCGACCGCCCGCTCGGCCCCGGCCTCGGCTCGGAGCCCCGCGAGGGCTGCGCGCTGGGGCCGATTCCTCGACAGCGCCCGCGGCGGCGAGAGCTACCGCAGCCATCCTGGTCCGGGAGCGACCGCCGCGGCGCCCCCAACCCCTCCAGAGCGGGCACCGGGAAGCGGGGGGAGGGGAGCGAGGAACCTCCCGGGTGGGGATGCGGCAGCTCCCGCACCTCCGCACCCGGGTTTGGTGCCTCAGGGCCCCGCAGCGCTTTAGGGTGGAGAACCAAGTTTGTGTGGGTGCTTCTTCCTGGAGGCCCTCGGGCTGCGCCAGGTGTGAGACCGGAATGCCAATTTGGGGAATCTCTCCTGTTCTTTCCTTTTTAATTTTTTATACTTGTCCTTGATAAGGGCCTATTCCCACTGGATCTGCAGGTGACTATTTGCTCTTCCGAGGTCGCCAGTCTTTGATTTCAGCTAGTGACCCTGGGCGGGAAGACACCCTGTTCACCCTCATCCTGACCTCCGCCCCCTACCTCTTCAGCCAACTTTGTGTCTTGGATCTCTGCTCTCTTTATTCTTTCTCTAGAGCTGGGCCAGGGCGCTAACTGGAAGCTTGGGGTTAAATGGTGCTGGAACGTAGAGGCGGAGGAGTCCCTGGGATTTTCCACGTCCATTTCCCCACCCCCACCCCAGCCGCAGGGGTCCAGTTTGGACTGACCCAACCTCCCGCTTTCTCTTTGTAGGCGATCAGTGGGTGACCGCGTCTGCGAGGGACTTTGTCATCCGCCCTCCAGTACGTGGGGAGAAAAAGCCCCATCCCTTCCCTCTCTGCCACCATTTCGGACACCCCGCAGGGACTCGTTTTGGGATTCGCACTGACTTCAAGGAAGGACACGAGCCCTTCTCTGACCCCAGCTCGGGCGGCCACCTGTCTTTGCCGCGGTGACCTTTCTCCCATGACCCTGCGGTGCCTCGAGCCCTCCGGGAATGGCGGAGAAGGGACGCGGAGCCAGTGGGGGACCGCGGGGTCGGCGGAGGAGCCATCCCCGGAGGCGGCGCGTCTGGCGAAGGCCCTGCGGGAGCTGGGTCAGACAGGTAGGGAGCCGACCGGCCGTGACGCGTGCGGGAGGGGGCGCCTCCCCAAAGACGCAGCTAGGAAGAGGGGCCGAGGTGGGAAGCAAAGAATAAGCTGGAAATACGTCCCTTGCTTCCAAGGGACCGCGGAGAGCACGCTCGCAGGGTCATGGGTCCTGGGTCTTGGGGAATGCGTAAGGAAAGTGGTTCTCCAGAGACTCAGGCCTGGCAGAGCGCGGGAAGGGCTTCTTGGAAGTAGCTTCTTAGCACGATGGAAGCTTTACTGTTTTACGCAGCTGCTCAGTGTTGGGCGTTCCGGCTCGAACCCCGGCCGGGGAAAGCGTTGGGCGCCTCCCTTTGCGCGGGGTGCAGTCAGCAAGTGGGTGCCGCGGGCCCCGCAGGCCCAGCAGCATCTGGCTCCCGGGCGGAGCTGCGGCCGCAGCCCAGGATCCTGGCGGCCAAGTTCGGGGACTGACACTGCCGCGAGGGCGGCTGCCCGGGCGTCGAGAGTAGGCTGCGAAGCCCCCGCCGAGCGCGGCTTCCAGGGTCGGCGTGCCCAGGAGACTGACGCTTTCAAGTACAGTCAGGCAATTTGCGCGGCACGCTATCTCTAGGCATCTGAAAAAAGAAAAAAAAAAAAAAGTAAAGTATCTGGCAAATCATTCTGGCTTTCCAAGTCCGTATCCTAAAAGCTTACAGTTGTGGCACAGTTAAAAATTTTGGTAGCAACAGGGGGAGGGAGAGGGAAAAGTTCTCTCGCTTGCGATTCCGGGCTTTACGTGTGGGCCATGGGCTTTCCCTCCAGGGGAGGCACCGGCAGAATGCAAGTATCCTGGTAATTGTGGGGTTGGGGGGAGCACAAATGTTCAGACTTCTTAAATATGGACGGTCTTTGAGCCTCCTTAGAAAGCAGGGTGGGCCGGGGAGATGGTGCAGGCAGATGAAATCGAGAATGCAGGGGAGGCCGATGGTTGTGATTGGATTTGGATTAGGGCAAAGTTCAAAAGAGTTTAGGGAAGATTGTAAACCTGAAATAGTAATTATCACTGGGGACTTCCCATTTCTTAGTGACTAGTAAGGTAGTCATAAAGCAGCGAACAGAAGCTATTGTACTAGAGCTGTGCTTTTACAACCAGTACATAGCAGTGCTTTCTACATAGAAAGCTGTTCATTAGCAGGCTTTGCAGCCTTTTTTTTTTTTTTTTTTTTTTTTTGTGGTTGGGGGGACACCAACCATCCAAAACAGTTGCTTCTGTTTTTACTGTAGTTCAATTACAGGAGTAGGGTTTTCCACTTTTTAAAGGGCATGGCTTTCATTTCTAACTTCTGATTTTTTTCTAATTTACTTAAATCTTTATTTTACTTAAATAATGTTCAAAGTGTCATGCTTCATCAGCCAGTGTCATGCTGAAAATGTTCTTTTGGTTCATTAGAAGAAAATCTTAAGAGCTTCAGAAAGTTAATTTTTTAAAAAAGAAAGAAAACTGGCTCACTGTTTGTGTTCATAAAATGTACCCAAATTTTTATTAAATTCCTACTGAAAGTATTTGTGGTGGCCCCTGGTAAACTTTCACTCACACACCACCTTTTTATAAGAGCTAAAAAAATTATTGCCAATTACTTGCTCTGTTCTAAAAATTCTTATAATAACTGTTTTACCCTCTTTTCTTTTTCTTTTTGAACAAAAACCCCAGGATGGTACTGGGGAAGTATGACTGTTAATGAAGCCAAAGAGAAATTAAAAGAGGCACCAGAAGGAACTTTCTTGATTAGAGATAGCTCGCATTCAGACTACCTACTAACAATATCTGTTAAAACGTCAGCTGGACCAACTAATCTTCGAATCGAATACCAAGATGGAAAATTCAGATTGGACTCTATCATATGTGTCAAATCCAAGCTGAAACAATTTGACAGTGTGGTTCATCTGATCGACTACTATGTTCAGATGTGCAAGGATAAGCGGACAGGTCCAGAAGCCCCCCGGAACGGCACCGTTCACCTTTATCTGACCAACCCGCTCTACATATCAGCACCATCTCTGCAGCATCTCTGTAGGCTCACCATTAACAAATGTACTGGTGCCATCTGGGGACTGCCTTTACCAACAAGACTAAAAGATTACTTGGAAGAATATAAATTCCAGGTATAAATGTTTCTCTTTTTTTAAACATGTCTCACACAGAGTATCTCCGAATGCAGCTATGTAAAAGAGAACCAAAACTTGAGTGCTCTGGATAACTATACGGAATACTTTCTAAGAACAGCTGAAGCTAATCTAATTTAAATGCTTGAAGAGGTTGCTAGGTGTTTAAAGTTCCTCCTCATACTTTTACCTGAGTGATGCTTCCCTTCTTAAGGCTGACCAAGACCAGTTGATCCTTTTAGATTAAAAATAAAATGTCGCATGTAAAGGCTGAAGGCACGTTTTATCAGAATGGCTTGCCTTCTTAGGTTCCTTTCCATTATGTCAAAGGTCCAGGCTCCAGTAGGAGAGAAAGAACTCCTCATAGGAATACTGAAGAAGTGGGAGGAACCAAGCTGACACAGGCCTCACTGCAATTTGATATGCCTGCTGATCAGAGTCTCTTTTGGGCATTTTATATTTTGCATTCTGATGTACCTAGGAGTTTTGTTAAACAGATTATGTGTGTGAGTTTCCCATTTTATGCAATTAACCAAATCAACCAAAAAAAAGTGACCATGAAGTCCTGTATTTGTCTTTTTACTACATGTATGAACTCTCATGTGAATGAGTACTGTAGTAATCCATTTTAAGGGAGCCTTATTTCAGAAATATTTCAAACTGGTGCAAATGGAAAAGACTTTCTCTTTTCCTTTAAGGCTAAAGACAAGAATGTCATGCTATACAGGTGCAACTCAATCCGTGTTAATAAAAACCAATGTAGGTATAGGCATTTTACCCTTTAAAATAGCTGTGTCCCAACCTGTTGCCATTGAGTTTTTGGAAATGGCTTTAGAAATGTCCAAGTTGTCCTTGAATTGTCTAACCATGGACATAAACCGTTGTCTCCCTTCTACTGTGTAGAATACTTTGACTTAATTTTCTTCCAGATACAGGGGGATACCTGCCTGTTTTTCAAAGTGTTTATTTACTGCTGTTACTATTTGATTAGAATGTATTAAATAAAAAAAAACCTGATTTCTACAAGTTGCACTTATTGAGTTCTAGAGAATGTACACTTTCATGGTAATAGAGGATTGCCATAAAAACTTATGTCAAGTGAAATAAGCCAAATATTCAACAAGAGGTAGAACATTACTTGCCCTTCTGTAAAGTTATGGGCTGTACCTGCCCCCTTTGCAATTTGGAAAGCATGGTTTAGAAACTACAGGAATTGCCAAGTGGCCTGGTCTTTTACAATTTGAATAGGCATAACACTGATGTCCTCTGTGTTTCCAAAAACATGGTTTAGAAGCTACAAACATTATGACATGGCCAGTCTTTTACAAGTTGAGTAGGCATAATACTAAAGAAAAATACAAAGTTTTATGGCCACTTATTTTTTGCTATGTTAGTCTACATAACTGTTATAAATGTACCATCTTTTCTAGAGTCCAGACATTATTCATTTTATGGCCTTTAAAATTTTCCTGCATAGCTACAATACTGTGGTGTGTCACCATAAAGGTGGACCCTGTGTGAATGAGAAAATTCAGTTCTAAATTATAATAAAACCTGCTTACTGCATATCTTACCTTATTTTCATGAAGAAGTTGAAAATGGTTTTGTGCCTGGCAGGAAACATACTATGTATATCCAAACAGCAGAGCCAAATACTAGGTGTACCTTAGGAAGAGTTTATTTGTGGCCTAAAACTTCAAGACAAGCTAGACATTTAGGGTCGGATCTATGATGGGGCCATAGCCGTTTCATTAGGATGCTCAGAATCTGTGCTTCATTCACCCTTTTTATCCCACTGACAACATCTGTTTAGTGTTGGATGTTTGATTTTTCTGGCACAACTTCTATATGATCAGTGCCAAGGGGCTTTGTGGAATTTCTTTAAAGGTCTTTTGCATTTCTGTTGTCACTGTTTCGAACACTGTATTTCTCAGTTACTGGGAGCGGGGAGGCAGTTGTAGGGCATGCGTACCCGTGAAATTGGAAAAAGTTCTGAGTTACTGCTCACAAGTGACTAATTATGAGAAGGCTGGAGGACAGCACAAACATCTCTGGAGTGTGCCGTGAAACCTATTGCCTTATATTTTAATCTTCCGTATTGCAAGTAAGTTGATAAACATCAGGAGGCAATTATTTTTTTTATTTTTATTTTTTACGATGACTGACATCATTTATTGACTGAGTTGATTGTGAACCAGGTTCTTACTCAGCACTTGTATTATCTCATTTAATTTTCCCAAGAACAAAATGAGCAAAGTACAATGATGATAGGAGGTTCCCCTCCCGATTGGTGAGTCAAGAGGCCTTCTAGAAATATCCTAGCTCTTTTTTTTTTTTTTTTCCCCGGGAGAGGAATTGGGAAGAGCAAATTGCTGCCGAAAATGTCTACATTGATCCAGACAAACAAGTTAGAGCAGGCTGAAAAGGAACCCTTGGTGTTTCTACTGCTGCTTCAACCAGATCAACTGGAAAAGTATAGATACCTTAATTAGCACTGTGCTCTGTGGGATTCTAGTCAGCCTGGCCCAGTGGTTTTTTTTCCCCTCGAACACGCCTGAAAGGGGAGCTCATAATGACTGCTGTGCAGATGGGTGGGGAGGGGACTTCCTATTTCACTCAGTGGCTGATCAATGCCCGTTACCAATTATTGGTTGCCCCATTTTATACATGGTGGAACAAAAAGTACACTTGTCTGAATTATCCTCAGCAAAGCCTGGAAAAATATCCAGTGTTTTCTCCCAATGCATGGCAATTTAGGGCTTTTATGAGGACATTTATTATTGTTGTTGTTGAAGAATATGGTATACAGGATTTATATATCCCCAAACTCTGAAAATATTTTGACCTCAGTTTCTGTTCTGGGCAGAGATGAGGCAGTGCAGTTTTTCATGACCATTACAGTGAGCAGTGGTGATTGCTTTTTAAGGACTTGGAGATTTTTCGGAACTTTGGATAGTGGAGAAAAAGGCAGTGCAGCTTATGAGATGAGAGGTCTTTTTTGGTGTGTCGGTAAGAAAGTCTTGACTTCATAATAATTATGTAATCCAAATAGGGAACAGAATGGGACAGTTGTTTGGGAGTGTTTATTTTCTTGGGGAGGATTTTCTCTGCTTTTAGAAAATTGTACCCTGTTAGGATCGTAGGAGACGGAGACGTCATCTTCGTCAAATAATCCAAGGGATGGAATGTCCTGAGAGCAGGCCGTGCCCTTCTCAGTTGTGAGTTTAGGCACAGGGTAGGTGGGGTTTGAGTGGCTGTGGTTACGTCTAACAGCTGGGCGGAAGTTTCTGTCTCTAAGTGGTCCTTCCTATCCTTTAGAGCAAAACAATATTGTCGTATGCCTTTCATGTACTTAAGAGGCCTTCTGTATCCTCCTTTTCCAGTTTTTTTAACTTCTTAGAATTTTAAAGCTTGAAACCACTTTTTAGATCACATATTATGGATTTTATGGAAGACTTTCGAATCCAGAGGGGCTGGGAGATTTGCACGCACACACACGCACACATGCACACAACCCAGCCAATCAATGACAGAGTCAGGATTCAAACACAGATGTTTTAGTCTTAGGATTACTATTTTTAAAAGTTGCACGCTCCTACCCTTTGTTAAGATTGCCGAGACTCTTCTTTGCTCTCCTGCAAGCCCTACATTCTCTTAACATCATATATTTCTTCTGCTGGGATTCAGAAACCAGGCCTGCGGAATACCCTGTGGGATAATTCCAGTTCTCGGCCTCCTCTACCCGATTCTGAAAAATCTGCCTCTGCTGGGTTTCATGTCTTGATCCACATTAGTTTTTTGTTAATTTTAACTCTTTAACATTTCTAATCTGTTCGCTGTTTTAAAATCCAAAACCTCCCATCCATGTTGTTTGATGATCTCATTTCTACCTCCGCCAGATGTGACTCACACCCAGCCACAATGCCCGGGCCACTGCCCACCCTCCCTTCCTTACCAGCAGGACCCATTCTTGCTTTTGCCTGCTCATGGGCATAAGGGCATAGTTAATTCCTGCCTTACTTTCTCCCTTTCCTATCATAGAGTTGCCCTCTTGACTCATCTAACACAGCCCTTCTGGCCGCATGATACTCCAGTGAAAGAGGATAATTATACTCTCCTTGAGTTAGGTAATTGAATGATTTGGACTACCTTAAGATTAAATCTCTTTGTATTTCTTTTTGGTTCCATTCAGGTTGTGAAGCAAGTAGCCAGCCCCAGATGCCACACTTTTGTTATGGGCATTTTTTTTTTAAATCCACTTATTTTTTAAGTATAGCAGGCCCCTTTTTCAGTGTTAAGTTAACCTTCATTTGCACGGAATAAAAATGCCCTCCATTCCTTTGCTTCTGCTATACGTCTATATGTAAGAATGATTCTGTGAGAGTTTTGCTTCATTTCTTCATATGCATGGTTCTTGTATTCTCATCTTCACATATTTTGATTTTTCTAACTTGTCCTCTGCGTGGCTTGAGTTCAGGTGACTTTATTACTAAGGTAATAAAGTTAACAACAGTTGTTAGAGTAGCCTCTAAAAGTCCTGGAGTCCCCAGTGTCTGAAGTCATGGAGCAGAGCTGGCTATTCCTATCTACACCTTCCTGAGCTTTGTCAGCAAAGGAGGCTGGATCAGCTAAGTGTGCCACAGAGAATAGGACTTACGTCAGTAAACATGTATCTATAAAGATGAAACGAACTGCTTTTACAGACAACTCTCACTTTGACCCACATCCTTAACTTACAGGCATTCTGACTTGCCTTAGATCAGGAGTGCATTTTGTGATGTATTATTCACATGGCTTTGCTTCTCTTAGAGAAAGGCTTGCCAGAGTCCCAGTGAGAGAAAAGGAAATATCGCCAGCTGCCTTCTCCTCCTGTCTTAGCATAAATGCCACTCAAGGAGCCCCCTTGTCATGGTGGGGTGAGGCTTTTTCGCCAGTTAAACCATCACAGAACTTCATAAAATTTTCCTACATCTCCCCAGTTTCCTACAGTGTTAAAGATAAACATTTCTGTTTTTTGTTTGTTTGTTTCTTTTTTGCTAAGCATTTTTTCCCTTCTGTTAGTTTGATATCCTTTTTCCTGTTTAGTATTTGGTCCAGAATGCCGCTGTGATCTTCAATATTCAGAAAAAGTCCATGTTGGCCGGGCGCAGTGGCTCATGCCTGTAATCCCAGCACTTTGGGAGGCCCAGGTGGACGGAAGAGTTCAAGCCAGCCTGGCCAGCATGGCGAAACCACGTCTCTACTAAAAATACAAAAAGTTAGCCAGGTGTGGTGGCGCGCACCTATAGTCCCAGCTACTGGGGAGGCTGAGGCAGGAGAATTGCTTGAACCCGGGATGCGGAAGTTGCTGTGAGTGGCGATCTCGCCGCTGCACTCCAGCCTGGGCAACAGAGTGAGACTATGTTTCCGACAAAAAAAAAAGAAAACGAAAAGAAAAAGAGGCCATGTTATTTCTACCCAGAGAAAGTTGTTTGACTTCCCATTTTAACATCCCCCCTGCCATCTTGATGAACTTGACCCATCTTAGGTTTCCAGCGTAGCTTGTTTCTCTTCATTTTTATTTCTAGGTTGTGGCCATCAATTCTGTATTTGGTCAGAAAGCGTCTTTGTATTTTACGTATTGGATTAGAGCATCTGCTCATAATTATCTCTTGGAAGAAGAGGCAGAGAGAATGGGGAATAATAGAAGCCCATAAACACATCTAGCCAATAGTTTCAATTTCCTCCCCATTCTATCTCCTTTGCTAGAACCACTGACAGAAAAATCAGCTGCTTCTTCGTTCTGTCATTTTATTTTCCTTGTCCATCATGTGATAGGGATGTTAATATGCAACAAACTGGCTAAAAAAAATATCAAGAGAGAAAAACAAGGGAGAGGGAGCATCAGTAGTGTGTGGAGGCTCCTGAGAGCCAATTATTAAATACTGAGAGATTTTGTGAGCTAAATCATTATACATAAATTATTGATAGATTAAAATCAGCCATGGTGGGAGTGTTACACCACAGAAATTGGCGGATGCTATAAATTAAGACTCCTCCCACCAGATAGCTGATTTAACAACATAGCACTAATCTAGGTATTATGTCCTCCTCAATAATTTAGACCTCATTAGAGTAAGATCAGTTTATTTGTAGCCTCTTTTATACCAAGTCCAGTGCTTAGAGCAGAGTAGGAGTGAACAATTCAAGGAATTATTATTATTATTTTAATGTGTGTCAATATTATATTGGGCTACATTGTCTTCTACTGTGGATCGGGCCATCTCCTGATTCTGTGTCTTTTTCTAGTTACTCTGTGGTATCTGTAGCTACCTTTTAAATTTCTTAGTAGGAAGATGTTGGGCAATCTCAAAATCACGTGATCATTGTTTATAACAACTCAGCTCTTACAGATCAGGGCCTCTTTTTTCCTTCTAGCTTTGTTCATTTATCTCATTAGTTTTCTAATCTTTTTCTTCTTCCCTCCCTTCTCACCTGCTTTCTCCCTCCTTCTTTCTTTTCTGCCAACGTTTATTGAATGTATACTGTATTACTCAACAGGAATACAAAGGCAAGTAGGAAGTG